GGGGGTTGTTTTATGACAGACACGTCTGTATGGTGGATCCATTGTCTTCTTAAAAATAAAAAAAAACCAAAAAAAAAAAAAAACGGAACAAAAACGAAAACAAAAAAGATAATAGCTTCTGAATGGGTTGAATGCTTAATTGGTTCGTAAATATGAAGCTGTCTGGGTAAACAGTGCACATCTGTGACAACAGACGAATGCTGGAGGAAAATAAACCACTGGGTCACACCTGGTGTCGGATCAATGACAAGAAGGAAACGTACATGTTACGTCTCTTTGAAAACGTAGAGTTTCACACCTCACGTTCGTTAAAAGAAAAACAACAAAAACTAAACAACAACAACAACAACAACAATCGATACGTACTTTTGTACTGACGCTAGAGCCACCTAAATTTTTCTTATAATAATTATTATATATAAAATACACGATGTTCCGCTATTTGAAATTTGGAAGGGCCATTCCAAAGACGTAAGATTTTTTACGTATATGAATTTTCGTCTCACTTCTCTCCACCAGTCACAATGTAACTGCATTTTGTATCTAAATTCATCGAGGTGGATAAGTAATGATGATTACGAGACAGAAATTTCGGGTGTGCGTTTATGAAAGATTGTTGTACGTTGAATGATTATGCTTGAAACGTTAATTAAAATTATATCATTTCATTGTGAGACGCTTAGCGCTACCAGAGAGAAGGCAGTACCGGTATTATAGGAGTAACCTTCATCATGGGTACTATTATGACTATGTTTATGATTATGATAATGATAATAATTATGACTTTGATAATGCGTATGACTATGACTCTGTGTATGATTCTGATAATGATTCTGATTCTGATTCTGATTCTGATTCTGATTCTGATTCTGATTCTGATTCTGATTATGAGTATGATTATGCGTTAGAGTATAAGTATGGTATGTTTATGAGTATAATCTTGATTATAAATATGATTGTGATTATGATTATAATTATAATTATATTTGTTAATTGTCATCTTAAGAGTGATAAGTGCAGCCAGCAAGAATGATAAAACATGAGCCAACGAAATATTCTCTACAATTCATTCTTCACAAGGCACATTGGGAAGCCCCGGTTAGCGTTGTAGGCAAGTAAATTCCAAGTGGAAACCTCAAACTGATCTTAACCGAAAAGAGATCTAATCAGAGTTTAATTATAGAGTTGGACCAGTTCAAATTACAGAGCTGAAAACACATTGCACTTTGACAGTGTTTGCTAGGGTGCACTCTTCAATAAAAGGTTATCTACCAATTTACCCAAAGTTAACTTTTTCTGAATTGATGACTGTGATTGATTTTCCCTGTGAGGTCTTTGAAAGCAATTGAAAACTTAATAAGAACCGCAATTCCTTAGATCTAGGTCCCCTGCCACGATTTTAATAAACTATTTAAGATGATTTTTATTTCAAATCAATATCTAATAAACAACAGCCAAGATTTTTCCATCACCCATAAGACACTTTTTAAAGAATTATTTCGACATGGTGAACCTACCCGGAATAATACTTTCCGCGTAGTGCCTCTATTTTCATTTACTTTTAGGTCGATTTATTCATTCATTCATTCATTCATTCATTCATTCATTCATTCATTTATTCATTCATTCATTCATTCATTCATTCATCTTATATAATATGTATTTATTTATAAAAGGATGGGATCGATGTCGGGGAGCGATGTAGAGGACCGATAAATGTTACCCAAAAAAATAAAGTGCGATCTGTTCGAAATTTGTAAACGTTAACCACGCCATTTACGAAAAGTCTGATCATTACGAAAGAGCTTTGGCTTTCGGTGTTCTTGGTCATTGGTAAATCGGGATAAGTCGAACACAACATTCCAACAGAAAAACAGAGTTACTCGATATATCAGACGTTCCAAAGCAAGAATCGAACCCATGCCTCTTACAAGCAACGGTAGAAAGCTTAATCATTTCACAACACCTCACGGTAACTGCAACGTTTGTATTAAAGACACGGGCAATGATATAAGATTAATCTAGCGCTTGCAAACTTTTTTGTCTAGCCAGTCCACTTTTGCCACAATTATAAGGTTAATTTAATATAATTTTCGTACCGCCCACCTTCATGTACAATTACTTTAAAGCGGGGCAAAAAAATACCACCTGTCATTACCTCGGTCGACCCAACCATTCATAAAATTGACATCACCCTGGTTGACAATCAGTGGAAAAAGACCACAAAGAAATTTTAACGAAATGGATAAATACGTCTGCAGGTATAACATCTAACTGAAATCTTTAGTACAATCACAGCCAGCCATTCGTGTGACCAAACTCTTCTGTGTCAAAACATGATAGCGGAATTTGACACAGCATCACAAGACAGAGACAACAATGCGGTCTGATGTAGTATGTCACATTGCGATCCCCGAGGGAATATACAAAAAATAACTTCAAGATTGCTTCGAATTTTCAATTTTCTAAATCAATTTCTCGTG